TAGTATGTCTTCCGAAACACTACTACGGCACATATCCTCGACACGCTGGCTCAAGGCAAAAGCACGGCCTTACCTAAAACGAACAAAACACTCAGTGACAGCTAGTTCCCCACACACACTACTTGCAACTCACCGTTCTGTTTCCCATCCTGGCCCCCGCGTAGCAAAACATGATTTCTTCGCCGCGCTCAATCGTGCACGCTGCAAACAGCCCGCAAAACGCTTCTCCATTCACGTCCCAGCACTCCCAATTGCAATTAGGTGCACAACTATGGTTGGCAAACCTCGCCATTGATCCCTGATGCGTAGCATCGATGATCTCTCTTGTGTTCGACTGTACGACATAATAGTTTCGTGTACCAGGTTGATTCTACAGTATACACAGCTCAGACCAGATCCGAATCAATATTTTTAAACACTCACCGCCTATCGCTGATAGTAGTCCCCACGAGGAATTACTTCCCCTGTGCACTTGATGATGAATGAGTCTTTTTCAATTAGTTGATCCGCAATCAGGCTGACCCCTTTTTGACCACAGAGTGCCAAAGAAAGCGACACTGACGAGCCCTCCTGAAACTTCTGGTTACTGTGTTGGACGAACAACGGCCTGCCTCGCATTCTACGTTCATCTTCGTCGGAACATTCGCTTTGTTAGTGGAAGATTTGGTTTTTCTTGTCACTAGAATACTTACTGATCTGTTCTCAACTTATTTCGCACGGTCGTTCCCCACCGTCCTAGCACCGACACCCACAAAGCGGAATGTCCTCCTTTATTCAGAAACGTTAGTCCTCACAACCTAAACAGAAGTATTCGAAACGCCCACCTCTGAAAGCAGCTTCTACTCGTTTCATACCTGAAAACAACTGCTTCATATCATCTCCATACTCAGGCAGCAACGCGACGCGCTTCACGCGATAGAGGTCTTTTATGGCACTTCGGTATACAGTCAAAGTAGCTGTATTCACAGAAGAATTTTTTGTAGACGAGAAAACGCTCAAATAAACTTGATGTATACTCATCCAGATGAGGTCATTTTTGTCGTAAAAAAATCTGGCAAAGTTCTCTTCCTCTTTAGCGAGCTCGCCCCCTGATCCACTTTTTCACACCGTTGAGACTAATCGTGTACTTCACCCTTATTTGCGTGGTGACGCACGCGTCACGTATCGCCTCAAAGTCGATGTGGCTCGAGCTGTGCGGTGGAGCTATCGTCCGTTGCGAGTTTCTATCATTATGTTGCTTGGGATTTTTTGTGCCTCACGGAGTCCAGTTTTAGCCAATTAAACAGTACAGTTATCGTCAGCAGCTTGTGCTTACGTTTTCTCTGAATGTTCGCTGGAGAAAATGCTAGAAGGATCGCTCAGGTGCCTTACCCGATGATCCTTTTGACTGAAATGTGTGTTTAGTATCTAGAACGTAAATGCGTGCGTGTGGCGGATCGCTCGCTGCTCTAGCAGGAAGAGAGTATTAAACGACCTAATACTGAAACGGCGTAGCATTCGAAAAGCGAATGCCATTGCTATTTTCGTGTGAATACCATCATGGCGAGGTCTAAGAAGCCAGGTGTCAGAGCGCGGGGGGCGAAGGTGGCAAAGAAAACTTTAAGGAGGTTGTCGAGACGGCTAACGGATGTAGGAATACCGGCAGCTCAAACAGGCAGTGTGAGTCTAGAGGATGCGGAGAAAGCTGAACAAGCCGCGCGCATTCTACGCTCGGAGGACAGTCGAAAGCGAAATACAGCAGCTCAAAATTGGCCTGATCAAGGCCACAAAAGAACGAAATAGAGCAACGAAATTGAGACCAATACACAGACGCTCGAGGTACGTACAGTACGCTGAAAGGCACGTTTCTGGGTGATTGACCACATTTTTTTCTATTTTAAAATTGATATTAGTCCGAATTTGCGGGAGCTGCGGTGAGCTTTCAAAATCTGCTCGGATGGTCAAGAAGCGCTACCTACCGAGGGAAACATACTTTGCTCCGTTGAAAAACGCTGACGGGGTTTGCGAAACAATTGCTGAAGCAATTACAGATCCCGATTCTAGTGGTGTGTGTGTTTTATTTGGATTTGCAATCGCTGCCACACTTTTTTGACAAAAAAAGAATCCCTAAGTTTCGCCGTGCATGTGGCTTTCGTATATCGCCTATACCAGTTGAACTAGCTGCTTTAAACCAAACAGAGGCCAGATTAGTTGGTCTTGGAGTCTGTTTTACTACGTGCATGGATCTCTACAAAGACCAGCAACAATTTACATGAGAAAACTCCGTAAATTACTGGAATGATGTTAATGAAGTGACACTTTCGTTACCTCGGCCTTTGCCGAAGTGCGGGGTAGTTCTCTTAAGATCCAGTACAAGTCGAGGGGAAGTATTTATTAAAGTTCGACCGGATGTAGTTCGAACTGCGTTGCGGTGGCTGATTGCACACAACACTCTTTACAAAAATGCAACGATATCAGAGAAGAATTTGGCTGAAATTGCCAGTTCGGACCCTGGTGCGTCATTAACTAGCATTGAACTCACACAAGAGAAAGAAAATGATCTTCGGACTACGCGAGATGACTTACCGCGTGGACTAGACACACGAGATCAGCAGGATCAACCATCTCAGCGTGCAGCTCACACCCCAATTATCAGTCAAACTGATAATGTGAACGACCATAATCGGGGAAAAAATCGCACTGACAAATGTTTTCATGTCGTGGAATCAATTGAGCTACAACCTGATCAATCTGACACGCAAACCGACTCAGAAAAATTATTTCTGCGGCGAAGCTGGAAAAACTCTCTACTCAGTGGGCGAGTTAAAACGTTGGGAGGATCCGATTAATGAATACACCACGAAATGTTAATGCAGAACTATTTCCTACCCTTTTTCCTAACGGAGAAGGGGGAATGCATCCTTTGGTCGATGTAGAAAATCGAACGCACGAATACAAACTAGCCGAATACTGTGCTCACATCATGAAATGGCACGATCGGCGGTTTGTAATACATTGCAACTTTAAGTTTTTCTGCTTGAACCTCATTCAACGTAGACAAATAGACGGCTTGGTTCTTAGGGTTGGTGCCTGCCCAAATAATGAAAAGCCCAGAAGTGTATCCGTCGAGGGGTGCTCAGAAAATATGAGAGAGGATATCGATGCTGCGATGGAATTACTAGAGAGTTTGAAGCCCTTATTTTCGAGGTGTTCGTGGGAGCGGACTATACTGGGCCAACGTCAGAAATGACCTAATGAGCATGTTAGGGAGCCGTGTTTTGCCTTCACGATGGCCTACGTATTTCCAAACTCTTAGTGCAGCTGACACAATCTGGCCAGACTTCTTTCAAGCCTGTGATCCAACACTAACGCTTGAAGCGGCTCGATCGTTAAGCAGTCAGCAGAGACGGAGATATCTGACTGAAAATCCTGATATCACTACACGGCATTTTGGTAGGCAATTCAGAGTATTTTTTGACAATATACTTTGCGGTAAAGCAAGCCCTATAGGTGAAATCGTTGACTACTTCTGGCGGGTTGAGTTCCAACAGAGAGGATCCCCTCACATACACGCCTTATTGTGGGTTCGAGATGCCCCGGACGTAGTGGCACTGTTAGAAACAGAGTTTGGACGCACAAAGTTAGCCACGTACGTTGACAAGGTAATTTCACTGCTGGCAAAGAGTAAGGAAGAGCTAGAAATCTGTAATTGTGCAAGTTGCGTTAGTGAACGAGAAGGGAATTTAGATATCCTTTCAGCTAGACCCCCTTCGCCGGGAAAACAAGATTGGGAGTGTGATGTATCCCGCATCGTTCATCGAGTGCAACGGCACGTTTGTTCTTCTCAGTCATCGTGTCGAAAGTCGGGAAACGACTGTAGATTTGGTTATCCAAAGGACTTGAAAAACAAAATACCGAGATTCATGTTGATACGACGGCTGACGGCTTTCCTGCGATACAGATACACTTGAAATGGGAGTGTGCTACAATAAATAATTACTGCCCTGCTGTTCTTTCAATTTGGCGAGCAAACATGGATATCCAGCTCATTGGTAATGCGTACGGAGCTGCCGAATACTCGGCCGCATACATCAGCAAGGCCGAGCCTGACACCCCCAAGTTTAAGAAGGTTATTGGTGCAGCTGTAAAGCGTTGTGATCTTAATTTGTCTAATTATGCCATTATGAAGCGCGTTGCGACCGCAACACTGTCGATTAGGGAAGTTAGTGCACAAGAAGCCTGTTATATACTTTTAAGAGAGCTTCCCTTGTACAGTAAGCCTAGACAAGTTTCGAGAGGGAAGGTAATGCGGCACAGTATGCGATATTACCGAGTTGAGGCGTCTGACTGGGAACTGAGGAACGACAGCTCTCGTTCTGGAGATACTCGAATAGAGAAAGCGGAAGCTGCTTATATGGCGCGTCCACGAGTTTCCCTTTTCGACGAGATGACCCTAGCGACATTTGTCGAAAGTTACGAACCAGTGAATACTGTCAAAGTGACGAACGCAGGCACCAACTATTGGAAAAGAATAGATGCAAAAGGGTACATTAAACTACGCTCGGCATCTCATGTAGTGCGCGGAACTCGTGGATATCTCCGGATACAACGAACCCGCACTTTTGTTTTGCAGAGATTTTTTTACACAAACCCTGGCGATCGCTGTCAGAACTCCCCCAGAGCGATGATGAATGCATTGAATTCTTTGCAAGCGAACTAAGAGAGGAATCAGAGCTTGCTATTTTACGACAGCAAAATATAAAGACTTTAAAAGATTCTACTGTATATAGTGTCGTGAATAGTTTGCCGGCACCCGAGTACGTATTTGTTGATCCCGAACCTGAGGTAACAGCACACGAGAGCTCAAATGGCTTAAATAGCGAAGAACATGCTTGGACAACCCAAGTTACGTGGATACCAAAATACAATTATACCACCGAAGATATTGAAAGAGCTCGTGTCTTCGTGAAAAAATATGTTAAACCCTGGCTTAAACTTCAGCGAGAAGTAGGTGGCAACACACGTTTTGGTCGAAAAAAGCAAAAACAAAAAAAAATAACTACATGTACCCTGTATGTGACGACGATGAAAACCCCGTTAATGATACTATGGACGAGTCACAGTGGGTTCCGTTTACACTAGCGATGAGGCAGTCCCGCAAACGATTCATGGCTCACATAGAAAACAGTGAATGTCTACCTCTGCAAATGATCATTCACGGAGAGGGAGGCTCTGGAAAGAGTTGGTTAATTAAACACATCGTCAAAGACCTGCATAACGTGTTTAATGAGCAATATCTCTCTCGACGAAGATCCAAACGAGTCCCCCTCTTAGCTCACCAGGGAACGGCTGCGTTCAATATCAAGGTTCAAACAATTTGTTCCGCGTTAGAGTTAAAATCATTTTCACGCAATGCATTTTTTGCTCCATACAAGTCGTTAGCTACTGCCAAAGGTGGGCCCACTATACTAAAAAGGCTACAGGACCAATATCGAAATGTTCACCTTGTCATAATAGATGAGTTTAGCGTTATTGCGTGTGGTATGCTACACTGGATTGACCAGAGAATGCGGGAAATTTGGCCGAAATGCAGGCAATTGCCATTTGGAGGTCGTGATATTATCTTTACAGGAGATTCAACGCAACTAGACCCTGTAATTCCATACTCTCTGTCAACTCCCTCTTTGAAAATACACAACTCAGTACAGCAGCTAGGAAAAGAAACTTGAGAGGCGATTCCATACGTATGTTGCTTGACGAACAAAACAGAAGTAGGGCAGACCCTGAATGCTATGCAGCTCTTAGTCGCCTGCGGCGAAAGTGCGCGACACCAGAAGACGTCGACTTGTTCAACACAAGATACATGAAAAAAGCAGAGATGTCTGACTGGATTTCAACCGCTAAACACATCCCCTATTTAAATGCGGATGTTGCCGCAGCTAACCATAACAGCTTAGCGTCTAGTACCTTTCCAGTCGTTCAAATTCGATCGAAGCACACCGTGCAGCTCAAGCGGCTAACAAGTCAAGAGAAATACCACCTGACTCTATCCAAGCACTGCTAGAGGAAGCCGAAACAGCAAACGCAAACAGAGATCGGGTGGTTTCCAGAGTTGTAAAACTGGCGGTTGGAGCACCAATGACACTGACCTTTAGCATGGAACAATCTGCCGGTCTTTGTAATGGCACCAACGGCGTCATCTACGACTTTATCTTCTGTAAGGACTCAGCATTACCTATAATACTTGTTCAGATAACGGATTCGTACGCCGGTCCTTCATTCCTGCCTGGTGTGGCAAATATTGTACCGGTTGTTCCTAGAAAACTTAGCTGGACGAAGAAGATGCCGGCAGCTCAAACAGGCAGTGTGAGTCTAGAGG